TGCACAATCAGCTTGTAACACTCCAAAGAGAAAGGAAAACTTGAAATCGCATCATATGACCCCTTTAATGCTAGGTGGGATTAATCGCAATTAATTTCAGAAAAAATGTGTGATTAATTAGTTATTTTTTTTAATGAATTGACAGCATTAATTGTAATACCATTTTGAATAAAATAGAAGCAGACAAAAAAGAGCATGATGTCACTGATGCATAACACAAAAACAGAAACGGAAACTCACCGCGATGAGAGAGATTGCCATTGGCACCTTGTATGCTGTTGCCGTGGGTGATGGTTGTAGATGTCTGTCTGTGATCTGCTGTCGTCTGGGTGGAGGTTGGCTGTTTCCATGGTGACGTAGTGCTAGACTGAGTGGTCACTAGGGTTGAAGTGGCTGAGGTGTGTGTGGTGGTGGAATGACGTGAGCTGGAATGAGTGGCTGTGGTGGGGCTGATGGTGGTTGTACTTGATACTGTAGCTGTAGGTGTAGTTGTGGCGATTGTACTGGTTGTTGTAGGTGTATCGGAGTTTGCAGCTGGAGTGGTGGTTGTAGGAGTCACAGTAGTAGAAGGTTCTGGTGTCGTAGTAGTGGTTGTACTTGCAGAAGTTGTCGTTTTGGGTTTGACTACAACAAACAAAACAGATATATGGAGATATATGGAGACATGTGCTTCCCAGAACTATGATTGAAGTTGAAACTTCCTGTAATCTCTTCAGTTTGCCTAAAAGACAACATTTAACTCCCAAAAATGAATCAGGTGACATTTGTTTCTTTAAAGTGTGTAGTATGAGTAAGCTTGATCTAGGGCTCTGTATTTTGTTACCTGTCACACAGCGGCGCATGTCTGGGCCCAGTTCCATGCTGTCAGGACAGGCACACGTGTACTTGGGCGAGTGGTCTGTGATCTGAGGAGCTCTGAGGCACAGATACTCACAGCCTCCATTGGGCAAACTCCCCATGTTGCATGTATCTGGAGCTATAGGGAAAAACACATTTTAATTCAGATGAATTAACCTCTGGTTCGTTGCATAGTAGTATATATGAGATCATACATTAAAATATGAACACAGCAGCTGAACTATGAAGATGCATTCACATTGACAGAGATGTAACACTGGAGGTCATTAGTTTTCAATTAAAGCTGTACCACATGAGGTTTGGAAATAAAAGGTCCAGCATTTTTATTCAGCCTAATTCACCTCAAAATTGGTTTCTATGCAGTTGTCCATGGGTATAAAGTGCATAAGATATATTAACTAGAAAGAAGACACTTTCATATAAATTAATAATTTATTTTTTAAGTTAAATTATATCAGTTCCCTTTCAGTCGGTCACTCTCGACGTCACGTCGGATGACCGACGAATTGGGATCTCGCTTAGAGAGACCAATCTACTTCGAGTGTAAACTAAACGAGCCAGTGCACATTGGCATGCGATTATTGCATCCAGCTGCCGCTGATCACAGCGTGAGTATAAGTAGGCAGCAGATGCAGCGCATATTCAGCTTTTTGCTTCGGAGCCGAGCGATCACATCATTCTGCTCCTGACTACTCTACTGAGAGAAGAAGACTGAACGAGTTCAGCGCGCTCTTGGAGAGCTCTTCGTGTTGGCGGTACGGCGCTTCAGCGGTGGTGGTTTCCCGTGTCGAGTGGGTTGCACACATCAGGCTCCACTTCCCCCTGTTTGTGTTGCAGATGATCATCTCCCCTGTGCGCCTCAGCACGCTAAAAGAGCTTTTTCCCTAAAAGAGCAATTTCGGGTGCGTCTTTTTAAAGACGACGTTGCGTGGCAAACTTGACGTTACGTCTTTGTAAAGACGATGTGGGTCTTGCTATAGACAACGTATCACCCGGGCGTTTCTGGATGCGGTCGTTACCTGGCGCTGGGTGATGGTCACAATCGCTGCCTCACGTGCCTGGGCATGTAGCACGCTGAGGTGGCGTTTGTGGATGAGTCATCTTCTCATTGCGGGAAGATGATCATCTCGGAGTCGCGGGCCAAGCTCTGTTTCCTCAAGGGGCGGAGTTCCGTTGCCTCTGCCTCGATCTAGTTCTCCTCATGGCGGCAGCCAGGGGGGGCTACTTCAGGCAGTAGCGCGGGCGGTCTGAGGCACTCCGCAGCCAGTTGAGCTG